TTTTTTTTTTTTTAAAAAAAAAAAACCCGAAAAAAAAATATGAAATATATAAATAAATATATATGTACTGTATGTTAAATGGTTACTCATGTGTACTTTATAGTCAGTATGTAAGATTCGTGATTCGTCAGATGATCACTATTTAAAAAACATGGTGTAACATAAATGAATCATGCCGTGACTGCGTGACTGCCGTGACTCCCAAATCTTAATTTTTTTTTTCTTTGTATTACATAAGCTATTTTTAGGGATAAAAAAAAGCATGAACGATTTATTTTTTTTTTTTCATGAATATATAAAACACAAAAAAGAAAATAAATCGCCCCATAGAAAGAATGCCTTTTCAGAAAAGGTTACATATTCACGGTTTATAATACCTCGATTCTTCGGTTAACGGTAAATTTTGCCGATCATGTAGCATATCACGAAATATTCGAATAAATTTTTTTTTTACAGGGTTGTGTAACGCTATTACTTGAATTACAATAAATCGTTTGAGAATTTTATAAATTTGTTATAATGTTTTTTCATAACCAATACATTTTATTGCATTTCTATTCAAGTTAAAGATACATTTCCACTCATAAAAATGTTGATATATAAGTACTAATATAACCAGAATTTTTGCTTTTTAACCACTTGAACGCTATATAATTTTTTAAAAAAGTAAAATAAAATAAAATAAATATACAAAATAAGTAACCACAAAGTCACATCTTAAATATACTTGTTAAGAAAATAATTCATAAAACAAATCAAAACTAAAATTATTTTCACGGATAAATATATATCAATCTCATACAATTTGAAATACTTCATATTCTTCTACTAAAAAATAATCCGCAGTTTCCCTGATGGGTTTTTCGTAATCATATTTTTTACAATGACCTCTACCATCAAGCAAAGTAAGATCACTGAGTCCAAATTCTAAACACGACGAGGATCTATTATGTATAGTCGAAAATCTAGAAATTGAACGACTTAAAATGTGATTTTCAATATTATTATTATCCTTAAAAGAGAATATAAAACTTCCTTTAGTATAACTATAGTCGTCATCAGATTTCCATGCAATAGGATTATATCCTCCAAGAATTTCATTTCTATCTCTCACTTTAATGATTGTAACAGTATGGGATTGATCATCACAGATTTCATGAAATTTTCGAGGTTTAAATCCATCACGAGTTCCGCGAAGTAATAATTTGAATGAACTAATATCCTTGTCATTATAAATAATTTTAGAAAATATTGAAGTAAAAGAAGCATCTGAACTGTTCATATTAATCCATTTCAAAATTAATTATGCGTGTTGAGATGTAATAATCTTAGAGTCAATATTCTTTGGATTAATTTCATAAACATTTTCAACACCTTTAATTATATTAGGTTCTAATTTTTTAATTGGTTGATTATTAGGTTTCAAGTAACTTCTTAATATATCTTTATATAATTCATTTGGCAAAATATTTTCGTAAGGTAATACGTTGTCTGAGAATTCTTCGGAAGTTAAATTATAGAAATTAATAAATGGAATACATCGTTGTAAACTATTCTTTAAAGTATTAAAGTCTTCCTTTGAGAAATTTGTAGGATCTGAAGGAAGTTCTGGATTTTGAGCATGTCCCCATTTAACCACATATTCCCATACGTGTATTGCACTCATTTGTAGATTATCGTTTTGAATAAGTTTGACCAAAAGTTTTTCTGGAGTTGAAGAGAGACCTAATGATTTAAATATATTATCTGGTCTTATAGATATTAAGTGATCACAGTATTTCTGAAGTTCTAAAAAAGAATTATTTTCAAAAATTGTTTGATATACTTCATTAAGATTTAGCTCAATCCAATCTGACCTATATTCAATTAAAAAAGACTGTAGAAGGATAATTAACTCTTGAAGATTAAGTTCGTTAGCAGCAATCAAGATTTTAATAATATCTGAAGTTTCATATTCATTCAAATTCAAAGAAAGTGTTCCACTATAAATATATCTAAAAATAAAAAATGATTTGTTACATTTTAATTATAAAACAAATATTACTAGTTAATTTGGTTATTTACCTTAATATTATCTGAAAAAATTTCAGGTAAAATATTTGGTAATTTAATATGTGTCAAAGCTTCATCATCTTTCTTTTTATTGGTTGACAGAATACTTCGTAAATAAGGGGAACGATAATATAAGATGACCTTATGAGCACGGAATATATTTACGTGAGGGTCATTTCCGACTTCAATAGTAATATCATAATATTCATCGTCATCCAAAATTTTAAGTAAATTTTGTGATAAATTTTGTAATAGTTTATTATTAACCATTGTAATGTTAATAATTTCAGCAATACGAAAGAAAAAAAAATGCAGCATGTTAGAATTTATACTATTATGGTTACTAACAACGTGTACTACGTGGCACTTATATGTAAGTGATTCGTCAGATGATCATTTTTAAAGACATGGTGTAACATAAATGAATCATGCCGTGACGCAAATGTATCGTTCTTATACGATCAGGTGCTATGTTCTATATGTCACATAATATGTCGTATAAGATAGTATGTCGTACAGACGTACACGATACATT